CCCCCCCCCCCCCCCCCCCCCCCTCAGTGTCGTACACATGCACTATGCATGCATGTCTGCCTGAATCAAAAAATACATAAGATGGAGATGGAGGGGGTTTATTTTTCATCGTAATATTCCTCATGAAGTAGATTGAGATTTTGTGTCAGGCTGAGGTCAGCGAGAGAAGGAGAAAGGAAGAGCGAGAGAGTGTGTGTGTGTGTGGGGGGGGGGGGGGGGGATTGTATGAGTGTGTGTTGGGGGTGGGGGGTGCTCAGAAGGAATGAGCCCTCCTCTCTAGAGGGAACACGTATAGAAAGGCTGTAGAGGAAACCTGCCACGGCAGTAATGCCCACCGACTTCACTGAAACTTGTAATGGATGAGAACGACAGAGCTGCCTCCAAACGGTCCGTTTGAAGCGTGTCTTCAATTTTTTTATTTAATAAAAAAAAAATCCCTATGCAGACTTCAAAAACACATACCGTTGCTGCAAAAAGGCACATAACAGCACCATGTATTTATATTTATGTAAGGGTTGGCTATAGTGGGCCAGAAATGACATATTGTTACTGTAAATGCAAACTCTCAGGAATATTACATACTAGCTTTTGTATTAGAATTATTTATTCATTCATTATTCATATTTTTGCATCAGATTTGATTAAGTTATTATTATTTCTTATTTGAACTGCATAGTATTTTTTATTTACACTACCCGTCCTGAAGACCTTGTGCTGTTTCCAGAGTTGATAGTATGTAAGGAGGGCTTCATGGTGAGCAGGGTGTTTAGGTTTACTGTGGCAAAGTTTGATCTTTGAAGTCAAGTCCACTTATTATCTTACCTTTGCTTCGTGCTAAAATTGGCATATTTGCCCAAATATGGGTTTGGACATCCACGTTCTGTGCAGGACTCCAGAGAGTTGATAAGACGGCTTGTTGTCCATGTTTGCAGGTTTACCTGTCATTAAATGGGCTCCGTGTTAGAAGGCCGTCCCCTGAGTCCACTCCCTGTTTGCACTCGTATCTACCAAAGACTGTTGTGTTGACACTGAAGGCTGCAGCTCCACTTTCACTAACAATGCTCTACAACGACACGCTAAGCTTAAAATCAACTTCATAAGCGAGCCTACCTGTGCCTGTGCACCCTTTTTAAGGTAAATGGGTCTTTGCCGTAAGGCCGGATTCACAATGGCTCTACCTATGTGCACTCACATGAGCTGAGACGTGTGCTGTTTATCTGGTGCTCACACAGAAATTCACTCTGAAACACAGAGTGATTTGATTTGTATTCTGGTATAGTATTTGAGGTCTAACTAACCCCAAATACAAGTAACCTCCCCAACAAAACCCATGCGAGGGTTCATAAATAGCACATAGATTACAGAAAACATTTCTCAAAATAATTGTTAAAACAAAGAAACTCTAATCATTTATAGAAAAACATTTGTTGGTTATATTATCATTTTTATTTACTTACTACTTATTTATATGTTGACATGCGGCTATGGGGTCTATGCTAAGAATTTTCCTGTTTGATTTCATATTTTCTCATCTCAAAACTGTGTAGCATCTTAAGCGGCCTTATGCAAACACTTCTCTCGTATTGCTCTTCGTGTGTCGTACTTGTAACTGTTCGTAGAATCGGACAAAAACACTTAATTTCAGAAATCAAAAGTGAATCTAGGGTGCCAGAGAGTCCGAACCTTTCCCTCTCATTCTTTGGATGCTCATTTTTCTTTCCATAAACCCTTTTACTGTACAGATGAAAAGTTATTTTTCTGCCAAGCCCCTCCCACTCCTCCAATCCATCCGCCAATCAAAGTGTACGGCCTCGAGGCAGCCTGGCGTCAGCCCTGCACCTGCACATCAGCCCTGCACCTGCACATCAGTCATGCACCTGCACATCAGTCATGCACCTGCACATCAGCCATGCACCTGCACATCAGTCATGCACCTGCACAT